ATTTTTTATATAATATAAGTTTTATATATTATTACATGAATAAATATACTAAATATTATTAATATTAAATAAATAAGAAGAGGTTATTATTTAAATAATATATAAAATTATAAAAAAAATAATACAAAAATTTTTTTTCAAAATCATTTTCCTTATTTTTACCCCACTTGCCTGGCCTATTCCAAGAAAACACAACACACCCCGCCCCTTTAATTAATTCCCCCTAAACAGTTAATTCCCCCTAAACAAACTGTTAAAATAATTTGTCATTTAATTTAGTTTGGGAACGATTTGGTTTTGTTAAACACACATCCCTTGAAATTGGTGCCTTTTTGTTTATAGTTATTCTACGTTTCTAAGTAATAGTCATTTTTTGAGTAAAATTCATCACAGATTAATTTTTTTTTTATATTTTAAAAGGAATAAATATTTTTTACTTTAATTTTATTATTATTACTTGATTTTAATTATTTATATAATATTACAAAAAACCTTTGTTTATTTTTATTTTTTTAAGAATATTATAAGCAAAAACATGTATTATACCTAAATTCTTAATTTGTGAAAAAATAAAATAAACATATTATGGGAAAGATGAAGTATATGTCTATATAATTAATTTTGCACCTAATTTTAAATAACATTTTTATATTACATAATACAATAACATGTTAAAATTTTATATTAATTTTTTTATCTTAGATTGTACAATAAAAAACAATTCTCTTATTTTTTAACTCACCTTACTAGCATATTATGTGATTTAAATTTAAAATCGCTTATTTTTACTACAGAAAAATTATTACTAAATTACTTAGGTAATTGATAGAAAAAAAATTTAATATTAATAATATATTATAAAAAGTATTTTCTACATTGGCATACGTAATTACTTATAAGCACCTATAAATAGGAATAAAGGACAATGGCCATATTAAAAATGGCAATGTTATACCTATAATGTTAAGTAAGGTAGCAAAATGACAATATTAAATAAGTGAATGTATACAATATTATAAATAAACTCTTAAAATAAAAGCGTTTGTTATATAAAAACATATCATATTATAATGTTATAATATTACATAATATTATAATTATGAAAAATGATGGGTGCACACCCGGATCTCACACATGGGTATGCACTCCCCATATAAACAAAAGAAAATGCTCATTACTCGGTCCAACTTTTTTTTTTTTTTTTTATGTGGGGGTTGCACACCCAGGTGTAAGATCCGGGTGTGCACCAATCATGATCTTATAATTATAATATTTTCATATTAAGAACTATCCTTCTCTTGTTGTTGAAGAGTGGGATTCTACCTTCTAAGACCTCAAATTTGGGATGGCTTCAGGTAGCAAGTAGCCACATTAAGGGTCTATTTGGTTACCATAGATCCTGGAAAAACAATATGAGAAAATTGCACCTTTGAAAGCCATGGTTTGGTCTAGGAAAATCATCTTTTGAGCATATATTTCCTTGCAAAAAGTAACTGATTATATTGCTTTGAAACTAAAATAGGCGATTACTTTTCAATTGTAGTCGATTACCAAACCCGAAAGGAATCATTCCCACATTTTGCGGTAGGAAATGCTTTCCAATCAATCATAGTTGATTACATTATTTATAAAGACTTCTTTAAAACAAAATTTATCAATTTACAACAATTAGATTTTGTATTGGGATTTATGGAAAAAAATCACAAATCCTAGACCAAACTAAGCTTATTATGCATGCATGGGCTCCCCATAATTCAGGGGAAGATGATACCAAACAGGCCTTAAGGGCACAGAAAAATCAAGTTTAGGAATTGATGTTGCAACTTTCAAGTATTAAATGGGTTAGATACTTAGATATTTTTGTTGAGAAAAAAAAAGATAGGGGAATATTTTATTAAATGGGGTTAGGTTTCAAATCTTCTTCCTTTTTTTTTTTCTTTTTTTTTTTTTTTTGGATAAGTACATCCCTATTTAGTACCCAGGCGACAGAGCTCTCCATTCAAAATTTATGTAATTTCATTTTGATTCAATGAATGATTGGAATCATCATACTATATTATTAAAATGTATACTTAAAATGATGAGTATTGAGTCATTCATCTAAATTCAATGATAAACTAATCAAATCTTCTCGAAAAAAAATTCCACCTCAGCAAATGCCGGTTGTCCACCTGGCAACTTGTCCAGACAATGCCGTATCTTCCTCTTAGTGAGTTAATCTGAGTGGGGGTCAGCTTATAATTGTCATTCATTTTTGTCTTCACTAAGAGACAAGCCCTTATTGAGTTCACTAGCAATTAGGGATTATTAAGGAAGCCTGGTCTTCAGGGGCATCTATTGCCCTTTTCCAGCCCCTGTGCGTGCAACATTAGATATGGGTTCGTACGTGCAATTTCAAAAGAAAAATGCAGAAGAGAAATCAGAGCAGAAGTTCCTAGAGAATACAGTAAGATATGTTTAGAAAAATAATGAGTTCTGATTAAATGCTCCTAACACATGTGTATTAGGTAGAAAAGGACATGGGTCAGAGTGCACCTCATAAAAAGAATAGATTTTCAACTAACAGTCACTTACAACCAAGCTTCTCTTTTCTTTTGTAGGGAACCAAAATAAAAGTACATTAGGGATGCAGGGTAAGGTTGAC